AGGAGCTAGAAATTTTCTTCAAATAAAATCAAAACGTGAATCGAATGCTCAAACTAATGGATATCTAAAGTCGTTTAAAAGCAGCCAAAGCACCGGGTATTAAGAGAACATTTTATAATAAACAGCAACGAAATGTTCAAAATCCTTTTGCCCACGAAAAAATAAAGTGTGTTCCAATAACTTGAACCGATTTTAAATGTGAATTAAGTTTAAGCGTCTAATGATTTTTTTATATTTTTTTTCTAATTTAGCAACTTAAGTCTTTGCCAATTTCAACTATGGAAAGATCAAAAACTCAAACAACTTGTTAAAGTTATCAAAGCCTATTACGAAAACGGACGTTCAAGCAGAAATGCAATGAGAAGTTGCCATGATGCATCATCTCTCGAAAGAGCGATATCAATTGGCCACCACGATCGTGCGACTTGACGCCTTCATATTTCTTCGTTTGGGGTCAGGTCTATACCAACAAGCCAACAACAGTTCAACAGCTGAAGGATGAGCTAAGGAAGCATATTGGTGAGATCGTTGAGCAACTATGCAGAGACGTCATCAAAAATTTGAGCATTCAGTGGAGGTGCGCCGTCGAAGCCTTGGCGGATATTTGGACGATATTATTTTTCACATATAATAGCCATGATTAAATAACATGATCGAATAGAGAAACAAATAAATTTTCACCAATAACTCAGTTTTATTTACTGCTGATTTTGATTCGTCTTAATGAAACACCCTTTATATATGTTGAAATGAAAGGAATTGAAATTAACAAATGAAGTTCATTTCTCAGTATTTAGAAAAAATACAGGAAAAGGTTTTTCTCATTTTTTTCAAACCAAAGAAAACATTGGATGTTTCGTGTGCAACCAAACTAGTCAGGTATGGAGAAAATACGGGTGTGCTAATGCTGGAAAAATCACAACAAATCACTGAGGAATTTCTCATTCAAGAGTAAGATGCTCTTCACGTGATTGAAGGAATAAAAAAAAATGGCTCTTTTAACAGTTACTGCACGAAGAGTAAGACCCTTTTAACAGCTTGTGCTTGACGAGTAAGGATCTTTCAAAAGTTGTTTTTTTGTTTTTTTTAACAGCTGAAGATTGAAGCGTGAGTGCCTTTCAACATTTAGATCTTGGAGAATGGTAACCTTTCAACAAGATAACAACCAGAAGTATACACCACCCGAATCAAATTCACTGAACAATTTGCAACACTTACGTCTGACCATTGTTCTTTGTCAATGAGCGCATTTTGGCCTGGTGAATAGCCCCCAAAGCTGAAAACAACATTCTGGTTTGAACTTGCAACAGTAGTAATTGGGTGTGTGTTTAAACTGGATAGTTATTGTTCTATATATTGGGATAATCTATAGTCAAGCACAACGCCACAACAATGAACCACGCAGTGAGAACCGTACATTAATAATGGTCGATGAGATGATCGATCAATGAATGTTTCCTTATAAGGAAACGGTTAATAATACAATTACCATTGTTCCATGTTGAAGCGTTCCTAACTTCATTGAGATACTGATAAATATTTGCTTAAGAGAAAACAGTCAAATAAAGAGATTCCCTTCTTATGAGTAATTGAAACTAAAATGTCAGTGACAAGAACATTGCTCTAAACTATTATTGAAACTCGACTGATATTAGATTTTTCCAAACTAACTTTGACAAGCATTTATTAGGATGTTATTGCTTTCATCCGTACAACGATTGCAGACAGCCCCCTTTATTCAGACGTCAAATCAACATCTGGATTATTACTTATTTTTCAAATAGACCATGGACTATGAATGGACAATACGAGGTCTGTTAGTAAAAGAAAATCACCATTTAATATTAAAGAAAATGGCATATGCAATGCAAATGATGTAATATAATGATTGCTTCAAAGTCCTTCTTTTGGGACCTCAAGCTCTTATCTCAACATCTCTTCCATTTTGTAGAGCAGCCCTGAACCTGATCACCTAAGTTCGCCACGAGTAAACTTGACACATCATTTTTAATGCTTACTTTCGTACAGGTTTTGAAATGTTCTCCCTTTCAACGTTGATCTCAACTTTGGAAAGAGCCAGTAATGTCAATAAGGCAAATTTGGAGAGTGTCAGGTTCCGTAGGATGTACGGCAAACGTAACGGATATAGGCGCAAAATGTGGAATAGACAAGCCAGGTTCAATTTCTGACTCGCCTATTACTTTAACGCGAATATATTTAGGAAAAATTACAAATTGCTATATACTGCCGACACTTGAGCTTTAACATAGATCGCCAGTGAGTAAACACAGGCGATCCTATTATTGAATTAAGTAGACCACGTGACCATAGAGGAAATGAATATATGGGAGTTAGCGTGTGTCTAAATGATCGCTATTTCTAATCTATCACTATACGGACCGCTATTCTCTACTCTATTCATTATACTATTTCTCTATTCAGATCATTATAAGGATTGCTATTCGAGCGAGTGTTATTCGAAGGCGTCTGACACCAGTATTGTTCAACGGCGATACTAAAAGTTTTATCTGCGATTACAAAGTCTCTACTACAACGAACATTACAAAAGTGGCAGCGAGTATTCGTTGACATTACAACAGTGTCAATGAGTGTTCGTTGACATCACAAAACAAATCCATCATGTTTTCCCTCCTAACTAATCTATGGCTTGGTCTGATCGTTTTTTAGCGGTATATCAACATCTCTTTATTTAATGGCAATATCTAAATATTTTGACCGCAATTTTATGGTTTCAACTAAAAATATTTCGTCCATAATTTTATAGTTTGATGGTAATCGTATAATCTATAGATATAGTTTATAGATTATTTATTTTAGATATTATATATTTTGGTATGAACTTATTTCTTTAAAGTAGGACATGATTTTGATGGTTTCAAATAATTTCCTCATGTTTTACTTTATGTCTTTACAGTTTTAATATAAAAATGTATTGACTTCCTTTTTTCTATAAAAATGTATTGTTGGTCATTATATTACAAAATGTATCCTTAGTAGTTTGCTGTTAGTAATTGTACTGCTGGTCATTTTGCATTAAAAATGTACTAGTAGTAATTTTAATATAAATATGTATTTTTATACATTTTAGTGTTTTGATTTTTGTTGAGGAGGGGTCCATTATTTGGCCATAGCTGGTACATAAACAGGTGATACCATACCGGGTCACATAGGATTCGGAAAACAGCAATGAACTGGTAGTCCATGGTCCTCATGCCTCCAATCTCCATGTCAGCGGCAGCAATACCTTTTTGAAAAAATTATTACCAGCAATAAAATTTTGAAGGAAATATATTGCCAGAAACAAATTTTTGACAAAACACGATATTACCAGCAATAAAAGTTTTTGTCAGCATTAAATAACCCATTGAGGAAAAGAAAATAAACCAAACCAATCTAAACCAAAGAATACACACTCTATTCATACGAATCTATCCTAAAAATGTTGTCGGCATTAAATAACCTATTGAGGTTGATATGCCGTAAAAAAATAAACCAAACCAATCTAAACCAAAGAATACATACTCTATTCATACGAATCTATCCTAAAAATGTTGTCGGCATTAAATAACCTATTGAGGTTGATATGCCGTAAAACAAATTAAACCAAACCAATCTAAACCAAAGAATACATACTCTATTCATACGAATCTATCCTAAAAATGTTGTCGGCATTAAATAACCCATTGAGGTTGATATGCCGTAAAACAAAATAAACCAAATCAACATCCATGTCAGCGGCCTAGCTAAAAGATGTAGTTTATCTAAATAGCTGAGACTGAAGTAAGCTATGCGTTAGACAGCGTTTTCTAATTTTAGTAGCAGTCATACTAGAGGAAGGAAAAGTCTCGATTTAAAATTCAAATTCTATCCACCATCTTTTGCAATAATTCAAGGCCATTTAGAGATAATGAAGAAAGTGAACACTTCCTCGTTCCCCTCCTGACAGTCATGATCACAAAAACATTAATTAGACATGTTGTTTCCGTTTGCTTATCTTGCCTTCAATGGGTCTCGGGAAATGTTAAATTCCGTGAGTTCTCTTTCCTCCCGAGATTTCAGCTGTCTTTCTTGATTTGTTACAATTTTTTCATAAAACCTCCACATTGTTCACAAATTCACCCCAAGGTATTCCTAGCATTCGTTGGTAGAAACACGTCACAGTTACATCATGACACGTCTGTGAGAAAAATATGCACCGTACACAACCCTATGGAAAGATCGATATTAAATAAAAGTTCGGTACATTTTATTTGTTCTTAAATAAAGTTTCCTGTTTCATAATAAATTTTATATTTTCTGGAAGATATATTTTGCTATTTCTGTGTGATTTAATATTTCTGTGACACATGATTCACGTATGTTAATACAATATCCAGACAGCTAATTTCTAAATGAAGTTTATTATAAAGTCTAAAATATTCGCTCGCATGTTGGGCTGACTTATTCTTATGATACAATTCTATATTTTGACAGATAATACTTTTTACATTAATATACATGAGATATAAATCGAGATTGATGTTGTAATAGAATTACTAAAAATTCAATATATATGACAGATTGATTGATATGAACAGATTGCAATAGATTTGAATAAATTGGGGTAGATAGATACATATAAAAAGACACTGCCATAGATAACGCGACAGATAGTTCCAGGGATATAGAAGTGGCTGAGACTATTTACAAGGGCTGTGATAGATACTGAGCCAGATACTGGGTTAAATCACGGATAGATAAGGAAACTGAGATAGATAGATAGATAGATAGATAGATAGATAGATAGATAGATAGATAGATAGATAGATAGATAGATAGATAACATATATATATATATATATATATATATATATATATATATATATATATATATATATATATCATTAACTGACTATATATATATATATATATATATATAGAGAGAGAGAGAGAGAGAGAGAGAGAGAGAGATGAAAACATAAATACATGCATGAATAAGGTCACATAGATAGATAGATAGATAGATAGATAGATAGATAGATAGATAGATAGAGAGATAGATAAAAGGACTGAGATAGATCAAGAGAATGGGATAGATACTGAGATGGATCCATAGATAGATACATACATAAATAGATAGATAGATAGATAGATAGATCCAGTGATATAAAGAATGAATTAGATAGATAGATAGATAGATAGATAGATAGATAGATAGATAGATAGATAGATAGATAGATAAAAGGACTGAGATAGATCAAGAGAATGGGATAGATACTGAGATGGATCCATAGATAGATACATACATAAATAGATAGATAGATAGATAGATAGATAGATAGATAGATAGATAGATAGATAGATAGATAAACAAACTGAGATAGATAGATAAAGTAATTAAGATACATACATACTTAATAAATTCTGAAATAGTTCTTGTGATATAAATTAACTGAGATAGATAGATAGATAGATAGATAGATAGATAGATAGATTCAAATCGAATACCGTCCGTTCAGGCCGGCGCTCTGACCTAAATATCCGGACCAAAGCACTCTCCAGTAATGCAGACGTGACCCTTGTATAAATGAATCGAAGTAACGCACTTCCACGCACTTAATCCCAATGTGGATGACTTGTTGCGTTTAATTTTGTTCCCCGTGACCTTTTCGTACCGTTTAAACCCCTTCTGCTCTACCTCAATGTTGCTGCACCAAAACTCGGCAAACCTGGCTCGGACCTTCCCAGAGGGACCGATTACGTGTAGGGCCATTCTGCACGACATGTCCTTCAGTCTGATCTGGAGATTCACCGACAGAGCATAATTTAGGGGTGACAGTGAACAACGTTGACGAGCTGACCGAGACAGCGCATTCCATTCACGTGTACCACAGAATTGTGTTAGCGATAAAGCGAGCTAATTCGCTGACAGCAGCCAGGTAGTGATGGTTGACCCTGTCGAACGCCTTGGGCTGAAACAAATTGATCAGCTGGCTATTTCATCGTCTTTTACGCCCTCCATTCACGTGCGCATCTAATGCTGATTGAGTTGAAGACGCCGTCAGGATTCTGGCCAAAATCTTCAGCAGTGTTTAGTAAAGTTATGGGCCTGTAGTCGTCTAGTTCCTCCCAACATGCTTGCTCTTCTTTTACAGCGTGATCACACCCCTTAGATATCCGATCGTGGACAGATCCCTGATGGAACAATTTGTTTAACACCACAGTCAAGATTGGAACAAGCATGTAGGGCAGACAATCAAGTTTCGCCGGCCACCTCCCGGGCCAAACTGCCCCAATGCCTTCATCTTCTTTAGCTTTATCTGAGGTGTGTCACTGTCTGTCTTCGGTGGTGAAAGACCTAATCCTATCCTTAACATTCTCCTACCACCTATTCATAACTACCATACCCAGTAGTTCCAGAAATGATTTTCCAAGCGTAGCTTAGAAGTGCCACAAGGCCGAAAGCGTGGATTACCCAATGAGTTTCGAATTCACTATTCAGTCGTAATTTAAGTTGCCTAACAAGTTTTCTAAGCACTACATGACGTCGAAGTGTCCTAACTACGGATGGCATTTTTTTATGTTTTCGAGGCCTTTATTATGCAGAGTCAGCAACTAGACAAAAGTTACCGGTCCTTTTAAGGGAAGTTTCTTCGGTTATTTTTTAAAATGTGGAAGAGTCGACAGGTTACTACACTATAATACTCCTAATTGCTTTCCTATAAGTGTGTCGGTGGGTATGCGCCTATTCACAAAAACACACGTATATATGTGCGTATGTGTATTTATGAGAGTGTATCAATAATTTTTCCAGCTTGACTAACGGAATTTTGTCCTGAAATTTTCTCTGCATAATAATTGATGAAAGTGATTAATATTCCTTAGTGAAATAAAAGTGTTAGTTTTTTTATTGATGAATAAATTATGGTGGGAGTTAAATGTTTGTTTTCTTTGATATCTTTAAAACTTCTCGATAAACATTTCAATTCAGGTGCAATTACAAAAGTAGGACTTTTGTGATTATCAACAAGAAAACAACAAGACAAAAATTGGAGCAACGTATTTGGTACGTCAAAAGTCATACAGCTAAAGAAATCTCATTAGTGCATTAAAAAATCTTGGAAAAATGGCAGGCATAAATCTAAATGCCCACAGAGATAGCAGAAGTGGCCTTCCATAAACGAAGCAAAATGGTGGGGATATTTAGCTAGAAACAAATGCATGATGAAATGCTATGTAATATCTAAGTCACTACACCGTAGTGAATACAGTTAATGTTCAAACAAATGAGGAAGAGACTTAACGCAATAAAATATGTAGTTCTTCTGCTCAGTTTTCCGTCCTGGCTATGACGATAAACTACATCCGCTTCCTGGGTAATACGATAAGCTATGCCCAACAGCAAGGCTTCTGATCAGGATGTTTCGAGAGCGTGGAGTCACCTCTTAATTACTGGTGTTCCCAGATCCGCGCTGACCCGGGGGGGGGGGTACCATTTATTAGGTTCCAAGCTATGTGCAAATAGGGTAAAAGTACTATGAATGTGTAAAAAATAGGTTTTAATACCAGAAATACTTTATAAGAAAATATTTCCAGCAATAAATTTTTGAAGAAAAAAAAAGCTATTACCAACTTTATATTTTTGATGAAAAAATACCAATATCAATAGTTTTTTGAAAAAAAAAATTATTACCTGCAACACATTTTTGAAAAAAACAAATTATTACCAGAAATAGATTCTTGACAAATGCCAAAAGTGTAGATTACCCAGTGAGTATCGAATTCACTATTCAGTCGTAATTTAAGTTGCCTAACAAGGTTTCTAAGCACTACATGACGTCGAAGTGTCCTAACTACGGAAGGCATGTTTTTTTTTATGCTTTCGAGGCCTTTATTATGATATTACCAACAATGAAAATTTTGTCGGCATTAAATAACCCATTGGGGTTGATATGTTGTAAAACAAACCAAACCAACTGTTCAGTTTTAAGAAGGCAAGGGACATAAGATTTAATTAAAAGAGGAACTATAAGGAAACATACAATTACAATCAGAAAGTGACGACTGAAATATCTGAGACACATGATGAAGAATGGGTGATTCTAACAATCACAGGACATATTAAAGACAAGAGAAGAAGGGGAGACAGAGATTAACTCACTGAACGAATTTGGGTGAATGAATAACAGAGCAAGGGCAAAGAGGGAGAGTAAATTGTCAAACGTTATTTACAGCAACAAGAGACACGGTACTGTGGAGAGACATGATAAATTGTGTACTGAAGGGACTCAGCTCATAAGAAAAAATAAAGAGGGCAAGTGATTTTCAAATGATCAATATGAATGCAAATCTGAATTATTATTTTAGAGACGTTTTTATGAGAGATCATGCCACAAAGCAAATATGAAATGTGCAAATGTAATTTAAATTTCCAATGTTTAAATTCATAAATCCTTCAACAGACTTTGATTTCAATCGAATATACCCGTCTATAAATTAACATATTTATGAAAAAATCAAATAAATTAAACGGAAGTGGGGTATCTGATGTACATTTAAAAGACGTCTTCATCGAGTATTATCGTAAGCCAATCTTTCAATGAAGCAAAAAAGTTCGCCCAAATCAAATTTAGCCAGTTGTCATGAATATATTATTTCTAAATGTTATATACCGCGGAATTCAATTCAGTCAGTGAAAATGAAATTAAATAAAAACATATAATAGGCACTAATCTTTTATTTTCATAGTTTTTAATATTAATCATTTCACCCCAACTTGACTTGTATCGGTTTTCACACTGGTCGGTTTGAACCGGCTTCCTCCCGAGCAAGTACAGCATCACGGGCCATCGCTGCCCACGCTCGCCGATCCTGAGCCAGGTCACACGAAATGGCCAGCCAATCGCGATTCCATCGTCGAAGACCAACTACTTGTGGACCCGATAGTACTGCTAGGTCATCCTTGATTGTGCTAGCCCACGCCCTCAGCTGCACACCGACACGTTTTCACCAGCCAGGAAGAGAAGGAGGGATAAGTACACCCCAAGCAAGACGATAATGCCATTAAGATGCTAGGGGTAGCTGAGAATAAAAGAAAACGAGAAGACTTTAGTGAAGCGAAAGGACCTTAAAAGACAGAAGATGGTGATTGACGTTGCATTTAAACTTTTGGAAATTGCAGTTGACAGGTAAGTAAAAAACTGGAATAGAGTCCCACAGGCAAGAAGAGTGAGAAAAGAAACTATTTTTTTAAGCATTACGCCCCAAGCAATGCGTGAAGCCACTAGGATGCAGGGGGTTGCAGAAGATTTGAAGCAAGAGCAGATAGGAGTGATAGAAGAAAGGATGAGGAGATGGATAGTGTATAGATCAAGGTAACTGGAGATGTCGATTGACATTACATTTGAATAGTTGGAGATTATAGCTCTCAGGGAAACAGTAATTGGGAAGGGTGTTCCACAGGCGAGAGGTGCGAGGTATGAAGCTATTGGAGTAGAAGAGACGGCTACATTTAAAAGTTTCTATAGTGTAAGGGTGGGAGCGGGATGCCAGCCTCGTAGGGCGCTTGAATTCATGGAGTCTGGGAACCAGTGAAAGCAGCTCATCGGAGCAATTACCATGAAAGTATAGAAAAGACAGAGAGAGGCGCGTCTAGAATAGAAATTGCGTCTTAAGAGTTAATGTGGTAGAAGGCTTTAATTCATGCGCTCTTGATTTTATATTTATATTTGGACTTTATTCGTTAAGCCTTTTATTCACCTATTCCTTTTTTTACTCGTTACTTCTTTTTTAATATTTTTTAACTGAGGTGAATTTATTTTACCCCTTTTTTGAAAACTTTGTTTGACTATTAAATCTTTGATTTTTTTTCTGGCTCTTCCAAGTATTGGACATTATTTTTATTCCTGACTTTTATTCTCCTGATTCTTACAGTCATGGAGTGTCGTCTTCCACGCGAAGTTAATGCTGGCACTTAAACTAAGTTGAAACTTTATATTTCAGTTACAACTCTGTTGTTGATCGACTTTTTCTTGGTTGCTTGCTTGTTTGTTTGCTTTTTGTTTGTTTCTTTGTTTTTATTTAGTTTTTATTTTTGTTTTATTTTTTGTGTTTATTTAATTTTTATTTTTATTTTTTTGTAATACGAGTAGTTTGTTTCTTTGTTTTTATTTAGTTTTTATTTTTGTTTTATTTATTTGTGTTTATTTATTTTTTATTTTATTTTTTTTTTGTAATACGAGTAGATATACTCTTCCCCCTTTTCTTGAACAGGAGTAGAGGTCCATTCCCTGGTTCCTATTTAAAAAGGGGTACCCGGATCCTTTCCTTTCCTCTGTAGTGGTGCTGTCGGTCATTTCTTGTGATGTGTGCTGTTTGTGGCAACGCCTCTTCATAATGAGGGTATCGAGTTGGCAGTTTTCTGGTTGCTGTTTCCGACAGATAGTTAGGAGACCGAACTACTGCGTAGCGTCTTGAGAGGCTGCTCTGATCAACAGTTGCATAATATCGGGGTGCTTGCAGTGCCATATCGCGCATGGAAGTGTGTTCAAGCACGT